CCTCTGAGCTTCAATGCCCTCATCAGTAAAATGGGGGTGATAATAGCTGGGCTCACTTGGGGAGCTGTCTGACTAGGATTGAATGCGATGAAGCAAGGGAAACACTCAGCCCATTGCCTAACACACAGCAAACACTTACTACATGGTAGCGCTGTTGCTACCATGGTTGTGACTATTATTATTTCCACAGGAGAATGGGGAAGGCAAACAGTTTAAGCCTGCAGGAGAGGGATTCCGCTGCTTCTCTTTCATAATCTCCCTGCCCCTTCGAAGCCTCCAAATGGCAGTTACTTTGGCCTCCAAGTTTCTCGGCAGCATCTCCCCAGCCCAGACAGGCAAAGGCCAACTGCGGCTCCAGGAGCAGCGGGGAGGGCGGGGAGCAGGGGCTGGGGGTGGGGAAGGGAGGGGGAGGGAGAGATGCTCTGCCACCCAAGGAAGCATGCTCCCTGGGCCCCTCCCAGATCCCGCCGTGTGGCCCCAGCACTGGCCCAGCCTGCTTTCTCCCCAGTCACATGGTTCTCATTTCAGAATGTAACCGGCAGCTGTTGGCAACTGGTTCCAGCTATTAATATTCTGAGAAGTGGCGGAGCTGTGAGGTCAGTGCTGGCACCGCAGCTGCTGCTTCCCTCTCCACACTTGGGGGGAGGGGGGGGGGCAGGAAGGCTGAGAGAACCTAGGGGCCAGGAGCCCTGGGGACCTAGCGCAGGGCACTAGCTACCCAGAGGGGTTGTCAGGCCTTTCAGAGACCCCCAGCCCAGCCAAGGGAGGAGCAACTTCCCCGGCAGCAGCAAACCTTTCCTGGAGGTTTCTGGGATCCCGTGAGTCTACAAGTGCATAGTCATGGGACGTTGGAGATGACAAAGCCCTTAACCCAACCATCCCATTTTAGAGGTGAAGAAACTGAGGCCCAGAGGGGTGTGTGACTAACTTGAGACTCCCCCTTGAGTCAGGGCGGGGCTGGGGCAGGAAGCCTGGCTGCAAACTGCGAGCCTGGGGGTGTTCCCTGACCCCGAATCACAGAGCCCAGCCGCACGCTGACCCAGAGAGGCCTGGATCCTGTGATCTGGGCGCAACCTGCGACCACAGTCCAAGGACCACACACCTTTGAGAGAAGACTAGTTCCAAACAGATGGTGGGCAAAAGGATGGCAAAGAACATGGTATTTGGACATGGGAGCATGCTCACCCTACTGTGTGGAATGAAGAAGAAACGGATCCCCCACGCGGAATGTATCCCACGGCCCCATTTGGATAAAGAGCACACATACGTGCATACACAGGAAAAAGACTGGAAGGAAAAGTCAAAGTTACTTGTAGGAGACGGGTTTCCATTCTTTTGTCTCATCCATATTTTCTAAACTTTGCGCTTTGAGACTCTTTATTTTTGTAACAACCACGTTAAAAGGATACAGAATAAATTGACAAGTGCCAGGATGCCACTCACCCTCCCTCTGCCAGGCTCGGCTTGCCGAAGCTCCCAGACCAGACTGCACCCCTGGCACAAGGCGGGGGCGTTTTCCTTTCCGGTGAAGCCGAAACAAGCTCAGACCTGAGGCCAGGCAGCCAGGGCTGTATCTCCCGTGGGCACCGGGAGGAAGGGCCAGACCCGTCCTCACCGCTGCCTCCGCTGTGTCTGGAGGTCTGAGGCAGAGGCCAGCCTGAGGTCTGTGTGGAGAGGGGCGAAGAGCGACATCAAGGCCAGATGGCTCTGCTGGGAACTGTCCCAGTCCCAGCCCTCACCCTCCAGGAAACCTCATGCCCAGTTTTATCTTCCAGACATGCACACTGTGTTGCCACTTGCCCACTTTGATGCCAACGTCCTTGAGACTGAGCCACCTTCCTGGGTGGCTGCCTGCCATGGGGATTTCCCAAACTTCTTGCGAGTACAGCCCTGGGAGTGAGGGTCTTGTCACCCTCGCCACGGAGCTCAGCCAGGGTTGTTTGGACAGAACCACTGGCCCAGGCCGCATGCCAGGCCAGGACTGTGGTCCCTGCCCAGTGCCCTGGCTGAAATGCCACCACACACTCAAGGGGCCTCTGCAGTAGGACAGCTTCCCCTGTCCCATTAGGGGAACCTTACATCTTCACACGTGGTGACAAATGCAGAGGGCTCTGAGCACCAGGTCCGAGGGCGTGCGGAGCAGATGGACAGAGCAAGGAACTGAATCCCGGCTCCACTCTCCCCGAGCCTGTCTCCCACCCCTGAGCCGCTGCTTCCTCATGAGGGTCAGAGGTGTTAGCAGGATTCATAGATGCTAACCCAGCCGTGGGGAAACTACGGCCCGCAGGCCAGATCCAGCCCGTTTGAAATGAATAAAACTAAAAAAAAAAAAAAAAAAAGACTGTACCCTTTTATGTAATGATGTTTACTTTGAATTTATATTAGTTCACACAAACACTCCATCCATGCTTTTGTTCCGGCCCTCCTGTCCAGTTTAAGAACCCATTGTGGCCCTCGAGTCAAAAAGTTTGCCCACCCCTGTGCTAACTCCTCCATCCGGGGTCAGCAAGCAGCTGCCCTGAGGTACCTGGTGTGCTGTTCGGTTTTATATGGCCCTCAAGCCAAGAACGGCTTTTACATTTCAAAATGGCTAAAAAAAGTAAAAAGAAGAGGAACGTCTCACAAAACATGAAAATGAAGTGAAATGCCAACTTCAGTGTCCATATGTACAGCTTTGTTGGAGCACAGCCATGCCCTTTGAGTCCTGTATTCCCTGTGCCTGTCTGTGTGCAGCAGTGACAGGCTGTGACAGGGCCCAGATGGCCTAAAGAGACTGACATATTTACTGCCCGGCCCTTCACAGAGCAAAGTCTGCTGAGCCCTGACCCGAAAGGCCTGGTGCGTGTCTGGAGGTGAACAAGTGTTGCTCTCCCTTCTCATCATCCTCTCTTCAATCCTCTCCACCAGGAGTCTTTTTGTCCTGTCCACATGACAAGGAGCAGTGCTGTTTGGGGAGGCTGGTGAATGAGGGGGGTCCTCCTCACTGAAGATCATTCGGCTCAAAGTTGGAAGGTCAATGGTGAGGTTGGATCTTCATTCCGCCAACAACCGGTTCCGTGACCTGGGTAAGGTCATTCACCTCTCTGAGCCTCAGTTTCCCTCCCCTATAAAATGGGAGAATGGTAACAGCTAATGTTTATCACTTGTTGAGGGCTATACATTGTCCCAATCCCACCATCACTTATCTATATATATAAAAGCCCAGTGACCATATGGCAGAATGACCAAACGACCAGAATGACCAGTCACTATGAGCACACGGACCACCAGGGGGCAGACACTCAATGCAGGAGCTGCCCCCTAGTGGTCAGTACACTTCCACAGCGGGAGCGCCACTCAGCCAGAAGCTGGGCTCACAGCTGACGAGCACAGCCACAGTGACAGGACCCTCTCTCTTCTCTGCAGCAGCACTAAGGAGTAGCGAGCTGAGCAGTAAGGAGCAGCGAGCAGGCAAGCAGTAAGGAGTGAGAGGTCCCGGACTGCGAGAGGGTGCAGGAAGGGCTGAGGAAATCTCCCCCGCTCCCAGTGCACGAATGTCATGCACCGGGCCTCTAGTTTTAAAATATTGTATTCATGAGAGAGCCTAAGAAAGTTAATGCCTAAGAGTAAAACATAACAGTCCTGTGAGGCAGGTACTGTCATCATCACCCCACCTACAGGCAAAGACACCTGAGGCGGTGGGAGGGTGAATGAGTCCCCGGGGTTTCTCAGTTGGTCAGAAGTGTTTCCAAACAGCCTGGTCCCTCGGGAGCTTAGACACTGCCTGCTTCCTAGGCGCTGGGAAATTCCGCCCAGATAAGGAACCCAGATGCTTTTAGCCAGCGGCCAAGTGCTATGGCTACGTAAATAAACCCTATCTAGAAAGAAGAGGAAGGGATCCTGTTTCCAAATCTCTCACTAGGGGTGGCTTTCCAGAGGGTGTGGAAGCATCTGAAAGGAGAGGAGACGTTTGTGGGTGACAGCCAGCCCTACCTCGCTCCAGATAGACAACCCGCCCTGGTCCAAACGCCAGCGCAGTGTCACAAGGACCTGTACTCAGCCAACCCTGGACTGATAAAGAGACGTCCCTTTGTCCTCAGGTGGTGGGGAAGCTGGTGGCTGCTCCCCCAGCGTGGCTCTGGGTCTTGGCCCGCTCTCTGCTCTTTGCCTTTGAACAGCCCAGGTTCCTCAGCCAGGAGTGCAGACCCTGTGTCCTCCCGGGCTGCTGAAGACACACCTTTCCACCCTGCGTCCCTCCCTTCCGTCCTCAGCACTTCCCCCCTCTCACCCGCGTTGGCACTAGGACAAGGGTTGGATGCTAAGGGTTGGGGCAGGCGGCATCTTGCCCCATTGTCTACTTTCCCCACGAGGATGCCAGGATCAGGGTGGCTGGGAGGGAGGGGAGCTGGCACCAAACATGCGGCCTGCATCATAGGGTTAATGGCTTGTGTCCTACAGTTGAAATTCCTCCTCCACTTCCTGGCTGTGGGAACTTGAGA